AGCCCCTCATCAGAAGACCCAGCCAAGCTGTGTGTGGACTCCTGACCCATGGAAACTGTGGGACAGTAAGCCATGTTGTTTCAACCTGCTGTGTTTGTGGTAATTAGTTATGTAACATGGAACACGAATACAGGAAGGTCACTTGCCTCCTCTGGACCATCAGATTCCTCACCTGTTGGAGGAAAATTGCAGTGTTTGGATCGCCTCTAAAAGTGCCTCTGGAGTAACGATGGCAACAACGGGCCCATATAAAGTGGTTAACTCTGGGCCACTGTTGACCGTACTTCCCATGTATTATCTTATTCTTCATGACATCTTACGAAACCAATCCTATTTTCCCCATTTACAGAAGAGGAAGCTGAGGCACAGAGAGGTTAAGTGCCTTGAACTAGACAAACTCACCCACCTAGTACATACAGCTTGGCTGTCGTCTGAAATGTCACTGTTAGCTCTGCATTCCTTCATTTTAAGGTGACTTCTCTGAAAATACATACGAGTCATTAGTGTGAGAAGGGAATGTATGTATATACATATAGTGTACGTATATACTTTCTCGACTTACAATGGGGCTATGTCCCGATAAACCCATCGTAAATTGAAAATATTTTAAGTTGAAAATATCATAAGTTGAAAATGCATTTAATCCACCTAACCTACCAAACATCCTAGCTTAGCCCAGCCCACCTTAAACGTACTCAGAACACTTCTATTAGCCTACAGTTGGGCAAAATCATCTAACACAAAGTTTATTTTATAATAAAGTGTTGAATCTCTCATGTGATTTATTGATACTGTACTGAAAGTGAGAAACAGAATGGTTGTCAGTGTATCAGCCGTTCACCCTCATGAACACGTGGCTGACTGGGAACTGAGGTTCATTGCCGCTGCCCAGCATCAGGAGAGAAAACCTGACTGCATCTCGCCAGCCTGGAAAAAGATCCAAATTCAAAGTACGGTTTCTACTGAACACGTATTGCTTTTGCACCATCGCAGAGTGAAAAGATTGTAATTTGAACCATGGTTAAGTTGGGGACCATCTGTATATGTATATACCAGGACACAACCAGCTGAGCCCAGGATACTCCCACCCTGGGTGAGGGGCTCTTTGTGTACTTCCGGACCCCAGCCAGGGTTGGGAGGAGGATACTTAGAACCAGATGGCGGCTTGGGGATGAGCTTGGCAGAGTGAGGCCCACTTCAATGCCCTATAACCAGACTGAGTCCATAGAGAACTTGGTCACAAGGATCTGCCTTACCCCCTGCCCCCATCCCTGAACTTTACCTGCCCCTCCCGTCCCCCTAGGAGGCGAACAGCCAGCCGTAACAGGTGTTTACCACTTAACCACAGAAATCATTATTGTAGCACCGCTGCCCGGCCTGCCTTTTGTCCCTTGGAGTCTGGAACAGAGCCAGGTCTGCCTGGGGGGGCCTTTTTGGGTGAATAGGGTCAGGGCTGACGTTGCAAAACTTCGTATATATCATCTTACTGGTTTCGTTCCCCTTAAAGCTAATTCCTCTCTCCCTTGCCATCTTCACGGTCTGTGCCCACAGCTGTCAGCATCCTCAGGGAGGAGGGGTATGAGAATTTTACCCACACTGGTTATATAATGACTTTCTACTTGAGGAAACAACTGAAAAAAACAGAACAGAGAGAGAAACCCAAAGGTCAATGCTTAAACCGGAAGATTAGCTTTTTCCCAGTGGGGTCTCAGGCAGCATGAGAGCTGGTAAATTGGGAGATTTTGGAACGGAGATTTTGACCTTATTCACAGTGAGAGTACACTATGTGCCCTACCTCATCCCCCCACCCCCCGCCCCTTGTAACACACACATTCTACCTACACGTAGCAGGGAATTAAGAGTATTAAGTAGAAAACTAAAAGAATCTCAAGAGCCCCAGACTTAGCATTAAAAGTATAGGATTCAAATCAAGTGCTTGCCATCAACCTGCTCTCAGTTTCATGGACTTTCTCTCTCAGAGCCTCAGTTTCCCCATGTGTAAAATGAGGAAATATGGACCACAGTAATGACTCTCAACCCTGTGGGGTTATGATCCTGAGAGCATGGAAGAGTTAAGATTATCTTTAAGGACCCCAACAGTTCTTCCAGCTATAAATGAAAACTCAATTCTTGGGCTTCCCTGGTGGCGCCGTGGTTGAGAGTCCGCCTGCCGATGCAGAGGATGGCGGTTCGTGCCCCGGTCCGGGAAGATCCCACATGCCGCGGACAGGCTGGTCCCGCGAGCCATGGCCGCTGAGCCTGCGCTCCGCAACGGGAGAGGCCACAACAGTGAGAGGCCCGCGTACCGCAACAAAACGAAACAAAACAAAACAAACTCAATTCTTGAGAGGAGAACAGTGCCATCTGCTGGTTTCACTTTGCACTTGGAAAATCCAAATACCTGCCAACGCAATGCCAAGCAATTTGGTATTTATTAAGTGCCGACTCTGTTCAAGGCGTTGTAATGCACCTCCTAAGACACACCAGAATGAGCTCCTTTCCATATGAAGGTCACAGTCTAGAGGGGACAATTGACACATATATAAAGCCCTTTGATCCAAGGTGGGCATTATATGGTCCCAGTGGGATTCTATGGGAAAAAGAGGTGGAAAGCCTGGGGCCAGGGCCAGCTTCGTGGGCTTGTGACCTTGAAAGTCACACAAGGTTCTGTGCTTAGCAGGGCCCTGCCTTGATTTCATGCTCTGCTATCGCGCTCTTGAAATTCTTAATAATTTTTGAACAAGGGGCCATATATTTTCATTTTGCCCTGGGTCCTACAAACTATGTAGCCAGTCTTGCCTTGTGGAAATCTTGAAGAAGTTACTCTGTGAGCTGAGTTTGGAGAACAGGGCAGCAGTGGAGTAGAGGAAGAAACCTATTCTACCAAAGGGAAGGGGAGAGAGAGGGGCGTTTGATGTTAGATGGATTCAGTCTCGCGGCAGGAAAGACGTCCAAGGACAGTCCAGCAGCTGGAACTCAGAAGACAGGCCAGGGTTGGAGCCCTGAGGCCACAGACTTTCAGGTGGGTGCGTAGGTGGAACCAAGCGTCCTGGGGTGCCCTGAGGGGAGTGCAAAAAAAGACAGAGCTGCATGGCTGGGCCTGGGCTTTCAGGTCAACCTAGGTCCTTGGCTTCTAGGACTCCTGCCTTGTGGAGTGGTAGAAGAAGTTCTTGAGGGCAGGGCTGGAAAGGCCCTTGAGCCCTAACTCCCCGTGTGATGTGCTATGAAACTCCTCTTAGCCTCTTTACAAGTGGCTTCCTGCTTCAACATCTTCACGGGGCAGTGAGCTCAAACTCTCCTCGGGCAGGCACTCATGTCGAGGACATTTCCTATCAATTTGCTCTCTGCGTTCCTCAGCCAGGATCCACTCTCAGGGGCCATGCCAGGCTTTGAACAAGCTTCTCTTTTCCCATCATTGTGGGTTTCGGCTTGCTGATGGTAGAGGACAGAACTTAGCCAAGACTTTGGGGAGCCTAAGAGCAAAGCCCATTTCGCCCCCTTGGGAAATGTCAGCTTCTTCTTTTTCACGGGGGTTTCCATGTTCTAGGGGAAGAGTGTCACAGGAAATGAACTTAGAGTTCAAAGGAAGACCCAGAGGGGTGAGAGCTCTCAACCCACATTTCAGACCAGTTCTCCCCATTCAGCACCCCCAGGGGCTGGTACAAGTAGCTGGCACCTCTGAGATCTGCCTCATTGTTCCAAAAGCCCGAGCCAGGACCCTCCCTGTAGAGCGTGGACTTGGCAGAGGGTGGGAAGGCTGCTCAGGGATGAATTTTGATTTGGTCCCTGGGCTCCAAGCAAAGAAGCTACTTTCTTGGCTGGCTTATCGCCCAGTCGATCCCAGAAGTTCTGCCTGGAGTTGTCTTCGGAAAGTTTTGTTTTGTGTCCTGTGGTTGCCCCTGGGCCTGGGGTGCAACTTTGCTTGAGGTGGAGGGATCGTTAGTAGGGTAACATATCCCCAGAGGCAACAGGTGGTCCCCAGGGCAGGGACAGGGACTCAGGGACGCTGGCTGCTTCTGAACCCCCATTCCTCCTCCAGAAAGGGTCACAAATGTAAGCTATCTTCTCCATCGCACGTGTGGTCCTTTCCTCTGTGTGTATGGGGGGCGAAGTACACTGGGGCACCTCCCTCTGTGTGGAGGTGGGTCATACAGATAAGACTCTGCCTTGGATAGGACAGCAGAGCAATCTCTGACCCTCAGGACTGCATTTTACTGGGCCTGTGAGAGAAATGCCTGGGTAGACAGTTTAGATGGCAAGACCTGACCACCACACCAGGGACCTAACCAGCCACCAAAGTTGTGGACCAGAGACCAAACAGCCCGCATGGGTACTGTGCCTGGCTCCAGCCATAGGAAGAATAAGGAGGGTTAGGGCTTTGTATCGCAGGCTGAAACCCAGTGCTCCAGGGCGGGGCCCCACGCTCCAGAAGGGACTCAGTGCTCTGAGTGGGATCCAGTGTTCCACGTAAGACCTGGTACATCAGGGCAAGCCGGCCATGCCTCAGGAGCCCACTGCCCCTTGCCCGGATGTGTGAAACTATGGATTTCCTCTTCTAGGGGAGACACAGCTGCCGGGAGGGGAAATGCTCCAGGCTTGGAATTTCACACACTTTTCAGAGTGTGTGGAACTGTATGCAAGACACATAGAGAGATGGAGAAAGACAAAGATGGAGGGATAGGGATGCACAAATAAGAGAGATTTACAAAGTTACTGAGGGAGGGAGAGTGTGTGATTGATTTAGAGAGTGAACCAGAAACAAAGACAGGGAAAGCCACACTCCTGACTGGACACAAAAGGAGCGTCACTCAGGTCGTGTCTTCCTAGCTGGAAAAGGATGAGTGAGTGACCCGTGTTAGACCCACAGGGACGGGTTTCTAGGGCGAGAGGCTTCTGCTGCTCGGGCTGCAACCTTCAATTCCGCAGCACGGGGGCAGAGGGCAGGGCCCAGGACCCAGAAAACCGGCCGGGGATCAGGCCCAGCGTCCAGGCCGCACCTACTACGTCTGGATGAAGAGGTGGAAGTTGGTGCGTGTAAATTCGTGATGGATGCTCTCCAGGAGCGCATCAGCATCAGCGGCGGGCGCAGAGGCACCCGGAGGCCCGGACCGCACGCTGTACTCCGGGGTGTAGGTGAAGGAGAAGGCGCTGGGGTAGAAGAGGCCGTCGGCACGCACGAGGCTCACGGGCACTGTGATGGGTGTGCGCAGCCAGCGCCAGTCGCTGCCGAAGGCGGCTATGTCTGGTACCACGCACACTAGGGACCGCGGGCTCCTGGGGGTGGGGCATCGAGGTCAGGGCTGCAGTGATAGTGATGACATGCATCCCCCCACCCCTAACCTGCTTCGTTCCCTGGGACACATGGGAGTCCCCCCTCCTCATACCTGTACATGGTTTCGGCCTCCACTTCCCCGAACCAAACCTTGAGCCCCGCGTGGAGGTTTTCACCGTGGAGCTCCAGTGTTGCCACATCGCCCCCGCCACTCAGCTGGGGGAGGGTGAGACCAGGGGGTGTAGGAGAAGCGGTGGCCGAGAGCCCGCAGCCCTCCCTCACCTGCACTCCCACCCTCCAGCGCAGTCGGTATCCACGCCCGCCAGCGACCCCCAGCGCCCGATTCACCTCGAGGGTGCTGATGAGGGGCACCGGAGTGACAGGCTCCCGGGTACACGCCAGGCTGGTGCTGAAGGAGAATTCCACTGACTCGGTGCCGATGATGGTCCAGCAAGAGCTGTCGTTGAGCACCGCCTTGTTCGCCTCCTTGGGGCAGGGGGAGGCCTGGGGGGAGATCCGAGGGGATGGGGCAGAAGCCGCGGATGGTGGCTGTCAGCGTGTCCACCCAGCGCAGTGCAGAGGCTTCCGCGTTCCTAGCGTTCGGGTCCTCGGCTCTGCGGTTTACCTGCCGTGTGAGCTTGGACAAAACGCTTAAGTTCTCTCTTTAGAGTTAAATCAGCTCGCTGGACTAGCTGGTTTCTAAAGGTGTATTTTCTTAGAATTCTAGAATTCCATGTTTTTAAACATTGTGCAGTTCTGTGCCCTAACATTCCAAAATTTAAAAATTCTTTGGGAGGGATTATTGCTCAATAATAATGTTATTTTCTACATGTTATGGTTTTCTCTCTTATGATAATATAATAGTTTATTTATATTTGTAGTAATATATTATTACTATGATAATAATAGTAATTTTCCACAATTCTGTCTTAACATTCTATGATTCTAATAGTCTTTGCTCAATAATACTCAATACTATTACTTATTATTATTTTAATTTACATTCTACAAGTTTACATCACAACATTCTATGACTTTAATATCCTTTGGGAAGGAGTATTGCTCAACACCATTATCACTATTTTGTCTACATTCTCTGATTCTGTCCCGATAGTCTACGATTCTAACGTTCCACGGGAGGCAGTATTGCTCAGTAAGTAGCAGCCGTGATGCTGATGGTGACCTTACGTTCTACGTTCTCTGCATTCTGACTTTCTGGGACGCCTTGGTGCTGATATTCTCTGCTTCTCACCTGAAACTGCACCACCTTCTCTGTGGCGAGACATAAGTAGGTGCCACCCCCTCCTGGAGGACCACCTGGGAACTGGAATGCACACTTGTGCAGCTGGGAGATGGGCTCATCCACGTCGAGGAGCGCACACTGTTTAGTTACTTTGCGGATGATCTACAGCAAAAGGGTGGGAGGAAGCGTGGCATCAAGTTGCCTGGGTGCCCACAGGCTTCCCTTCTCTCTTTCTTCGATAGCCAGGCAGGACACTGGCATATTCCCCCCACGCCAGCCCACAAAGCACTGAGTATCCCAAGTGAGGATCGGCGTCATCATGCTTTGGGTTCTCACTCTCCAGCACTGCACTTGTGGGTCACACCTTCTGTGTGGATCTGGGGGGACCCCTCCAGCTGTGCCCTTCCTTCCCATACCATTGGAGGTAGCGTGATGCCCGTGACTGTGCAGATCAGCTGCACCAGGGAGCCGTAGTGGACATAGCCCTCTCGAGGCGGGAAGTCTCCCTGGGAACAGTGTTCATCAGCTGGGAGTAAAAAGACGGAGGGAAGGAAGGAGGGTTTCAGGGGTTCCAAGCTTCTGCCGCAAATCCCACCCTTCTTGCCTCTAGCTCCACCTCACATTGCACATGGGTCTTATGGGCAAGGTTGGCACACAGGAAGGCAGCTAAGGCTGAAGATTCTCAGCCTGGAGATGTCATTTGTGGTCATCCTTGCGAATGTCTGCCCCCTGGGGTGGGGGCTGAGTTGAGGGAAGGGGCTGGACACTGGAGTCTGAATAGCTTGGATCAGTCACCAACTCACTGGGACCTTTGGCAAGTCTTTTTGTGTTTCTGAGCCTCTGTTCCATGGGGCAAATTTTACTTTCCTTGAGGAGTTGTGAAGATTTAAAAAGGGAATGCATGTGAAGTGCCCAGCCCCAGGCCTGCTGGTGGGATTACCCAGGTGGAGAGTGAAGGCAGCCCACTGGCGTGCACTGGCCACGAAGTCCCCATCCTCCACAGAGAGGTAGCGCGTGGAGACCGTCTGGGAGCGCAGGCGGTTGAAGAGGGAGACCTTTGAGCCCGAGGATATGCACACTGTGAGGGGAGGTGGAATCAGTGCCCCTGCCTGGCTTGGTCCCTTGGACTTGCCAGGTAAGTTCCCATCCTCTGTCCCCTGAGCCAGTCTGGCTCAAATTCCCAGACACACTGAGCATTCATATGTCACCGCTATTTATCTAGCACCTACTGTAATCCTGCTTCTGTACCTTTGTCTGGTTCTTTTTGCTGCCTGGGCATCCTTCAGTTCAATAAACAGAATTTTATCAAGTAGTTACTAAGTGCCTACTTGGTATGGCACTGTGCTGGGTACTGGGTGCCAAAGGGTGAATTAGACCCAGTTTTGCTCTAGAGGAGTTCACAGTCTCAGAGAGGAGACAGGGAATAAATATAAAATTTCCATATGATATAGTGAGGGCTGGCTGGGTTAAGGAGGGCTTCCTGGAGGAGGTTATACTCTCAGCTGGGAAGCATGAAGTAGGTAGGAGTTGCTCAGGGGGCTGCATAAGCAAAGGCTGCGTGGTGTGAAACAGCAGTACATTTCTAGGGCTTGACATTGATCTCGTCCAGCCTTTTAACACAGGCTCAGAGCAGCCACTTTGTTTTCTAATTGGATTTTGACCACCTGGGGAGAAAGCACTGGGTCATCTCCCTCTCTCCCCTCACAGTGCTAGGCATACTGTTGGTGCGCAATGTATACTTAACCCAAGTTCCTGTCCATTGCATAATGATGCTAGCTAACGCTTATTGTGTTTCAGGTACTGTTTTAAATGCTTAAAATGTGTTAGCTCTTTTGCTTCTCTTAACAACCCTCAGAGGCAGATAATATTATCTCTACTCAAGAGAACAACTCCCTCTAGATCACACAGCTAGCCAGTGGCAGAGCCAGGATTGAAACCCAGGCCGCCCGGCTTCAGAATCTGCGCTCGAAACCATCACACTGTACCACTTTACCCCTCCCTGGCCCTTTCCTGACACCAAGGGCCAGCCAGAGCACTGCCTGGATCTGAGACATTCTTCAAGGTTTTTAACAGACAGTAAGGTGGAGGGGTGGGAGCTGGGCTTCACAGTCGCATTGACTCAAGTTCAAACCCTGGGTGGGCCATTTTCTAGCTGGGAAAACTTAGGCAAGTCACCTGAAGGTGACAGGCCCAAATATTTCTTTTCCTCCTTCCTTCCTTCCTTCCTCCCTCCCTCCCTCTCTCTCTCTCTTTCTTTCTTTCTTCCTTTCTTTTCTGGCCATGCTGCATGGCATGTGGGATCTTAGTTCCCTGACCAGGGATTGTACCCGCGTGCCCTGCAGTGGAAGCGCTGAGTTTTAACCACTGGACCGTCAGGGAAGTCCCAGGCCCAGATATTTCTTAAATGAATGCATGAATGTTCCAAACCTCATTTTCCTCATGGACGACTCACCTTACAAGGATAAGCATCAAACAGGGTGATGTATGTATATACCTGCCAAGAAAGTCCCCCGTCCCCTACTCCTCCCTTCCGTCTTCCAGCGAGGGTAGCAGTGATGTTGTCATTGTCATTCAGGCTTTGTTTCCTCGTATTTTCAAAACCATCAGCCCTGGGATTTGTCACTTGGCATCCAGGGCAGTACTTATCTCAAACTGATCAGCTGTGTGTGTCTCTCTCCTCTGCTAGACTGTCCATTCCTCCAGAACAGATACTTGCATATACATCAGGCACTGGATAAATATTTTTAACTGAATTTCCCCTGCCCTTTCATTATCACTTTTTTTTTTTTTTTTTTTTCAGTACGCGGGCCTCTCACTGTTGCGGCCTCTCCCGTTGCGGAGCACAGGCTCCGGACGCGCAGGCCCAGCGGCCATGGCTCACGGGCCCAGCCGCTCCGCGGCATGTGGGATCTTCCCGGACCGGGGCACGAACCCGTGTCCCCTGCATCGGCAGGCGGACTCTCAACCACTGCGCCACCACGGAAGCCCTCATTATCACTTTTAATCTGTCTTTGGCTCAGCACCTGCCGGCCATTTTGGGGACCCCCCAACCTCAAGTCGGCCTCTGTTCCCTTCCCTCTGCTCTTGCCTCTCCAACTTTTCCCATTCCCCGACCTAAGCCACACCTACTTACCCAGACCCCGCCCCCTTCCGGCTCAAACTCCACCTCTCCCACTCTGACCCCACCCCTACAATCCAGGCATCTCCCCCTCCCCCCTCCCAAACCTAGCAGCTTCCAGACCAGGGGCACCTCCCCGCCCCGCCCAGCGGCCAAGCTCCACCCCGCTCACGGTCGGTGTTTTTCAGCGACTGCTTCTTCTGCGAGGGCTTGGAGATGACCTTGATGAGGCGGCTGTGGAAAGTGCCCAGCTCTCGCCCCCCTCGGAGCACTAGCCGCAGCACCAGCCGGAAGTGCTTCCTCTTGTCTGCGTCCGAGATGTACAGGGTCTTGGCGCAACCGAATTCCTACAGGGTTGGCGGAGATGGGGTCGTCTCAACCCAGCCCTCAGTCCCTGGATGAACTGACTTTCCCCAGTTATCTGACGTCCGCCCCGTCGGACGTGACATGAAGCTGCACGTCCAAGCTCTTGGGCTCACCCTCAAGGCAGAACCCCGGTCTCTCGGCATCCTCACCTATCTTTTGGCTTCTGCAGGGGAGTAAAGGAGCCCCCCTGCACCAAAGAGAGAGGCAAGGATGGGAGCAAGAATCGAACCCTCTTCCCATGCGCTCTCACCCTGGAGTCCGGCTGCTCTTCGAAATTCAACTTCTGCGTCTCGGCAGCGCTGCCGGACGCGCCGTCCAGTCCCATGTAACCGCAGACGATGGGCCCGGTCTCCCCTGCCTGGTGGGCTGGAAAGGGACGCGAGCGGGCTCTGGAAGGACTCAAGTGTCAGGCAAGCTTAGTTCTCGCCGCCAGAGGGCGCGTTGAGACTGCGACTGAGAACCGTCCCGCTCCCGAGCCCTACTGAGGGTCCCCTTACAGAGGGTGGCGCCCGGCATCCCTGGAGTCCGCCCTCACCTTGGCCCTGCACTGGCTTCACCCTCCATCCGGGACCTGCGAGGTAGACACAGGGCGGGGGGCAGAAGAACCTGCGGAGACATGTAAGCGCTGGACTCGTGTATCCATCTCCACTTGACTGTCCTGTAGGCGTCTCAAAGGTAGCAAAGACCAGACAGAATCCTTGATTCCCCCCCCCATCTTTCTCACCGCTCTCCCCAGGCTTCTTCATGACTGTGAACCCCATGAACACCCGAATCTTTCTTTCTTTCACATTCCTCATTCAATCCATCCGTAAGTCCTATCCACTCCCTTTAAAACATATCCAGAATCCACTGACTTCTCACCACCTCCACCTTAGTCCCTACTGCCATGGCTTTTTGCCTGGACCTCTGGCATCAGCCTTCCAACTGGTCTCTCTGCTTCCACTCCTACCCACTTCAACCTGTTTTTCACACAGCAGCCAGAATGTGTTTTTAAAAAAATTCTTTTAGACTATGTTACTCATCTTCTTAAAATCCTCCAGTGGTTTAAATTCAAAGTCCTCACATGATCCAGCCCCTGCTTGCCTCTCCAACTTTACTTCCTGCAATGCCCACCTCTTTCTCTAATCCCAGCCACTCTGACTTCTTTTGTCCTGGAACAGGCCAAGCTAGTACTGTGTCAAGGTCTTTGTGTTTTCTGTTCCTTCTAATTGGAACCCGCTTCCCCGTGATCTTCTCATGTCTGGCTCCATTTTCACATTCAAGTCTTAGTTCAGATGTCACCTCCTTAAAGGGTCTTTCTACCACCTTGACCTTGCTAGCTAAAGTACATCCCCACTCCTCAGTTTCTATCACCTTTCCTGGTTCTATTTCCCTTCTAGCTCTCACCACAATCTGGAAGCCTCTTGTTTACCGATTTGTGAGGAGTTTATTGTCTGTCTCTCCCACACGACAGTGAAGATGCCAGGAGTGCAGGGACCATAGCTGTCTTGTTCAACTGTATGCCCGGTGCCCAGCAGTGCCAGAGAGCCTGACACATGATAAGCACTCAGTAGGTAGTTGTGGAATGAAAGAATGAATGAATGGGTGAATGAGGGAGTGAATGGGGACTAGAGATTCACAGGGAGGTTCTGCTATAAACCGAAGTCAGGGCTGATGGTGGCTGAAGGAAAAGGCCCCTGATTGGCCAATAGCTGAGCGCTGAGTCCTCTCCAGGTTCTAAAAGACACTAAAAAGGGAGGGGCACACAGGGCAGAAGGTCGGGTCGCAGGGAACTTGGAGGGCCACTGAGGGACCTACCGCTTCTCATTTCCATATGATTTCTGGGCCACCTTGGCGTGCAGGATCCGCACCGTCTGCTCGCACTGTTGCTGTAGGCACTGGCGCACACCTTCCCTCAGGACCGCGGCGGGCTCTGGGGATGACCTGGGAGTGGGGACAGAGCGGCCGCCCGCAGCAGGGAGCGTCAAGGGGCGAGGTGGCATAGCGCGCCCAAAGGGGGCAGGTGGAATGCAATGAATGGGAGGAAGGGACCGTTCTAGGTCTGCCCCCTCGGGGTCAAAGAGAAGAAGCCTTAGGCAAGGGAGGGGACTTGGGTGCAAGCTGTGGGCTAAATATTTGGGTTGCGTGGTGCTCACTGAGGTCTGCCTGGAGCCCACCCGGGACCACCCAGGCGCCATTCCGCAGGTCTGGCTCCACTCCCATTGCAGCCTGGAGCACTGGGAGAGGCCCCAGAGCCACAAAGGCCCCGCTTGTGCCAGTCTTGTGATGGAGGCAGAGTTTGTGAGGGCGCCTGGCTTCCCTGCACCCTAGGGGGACCCACCCCGGTGCAGTCTTGATGGGGGGGAGCTTTGCTGGACCCCTGGACCAGAGTGCTCTCTTGCCTACCTGCGGATGCCTGGGAAAATGGACGGGCCCCCAAACTGTGTGCCCAGGATCCTGGGGGAATATTTTCGTCTTTTCCAGGTTAAAGCAACACTCTCAGCCCCCTTTCTCCCAAGAGAAGGTGCCTGTTGCTGTCTTAGCTTTCCTTCTCCTGATTACAGGGCCTCCATCGGCCCTGTGGAGTGGGCCAGTTAGAGCCTAGGGGCCTGGTGGCGTCTCCGCCTGGGAGTTTTGATGGGTGAGGGTGATGGGCCCAAGACCTAAGTAATTGCAGAGACCGTGGAAAGGCGTCGGTGATGGCGGAATTTGAGGGACTACCAGGTGGGGCCTGGGAAGAGCAATGAACCCTGAGGCTACCCTCTTCGCAGGATCAGAGTGCGGGACCCTCTCCCCACCCCTGGAGGGGACGGCGGGGGATAAGAGCCGGGCCGCGCCCTCGGAAGCGGAGCCAAGCAGCCGGCGGCCGAGCCAGGCCCCGCTCCGCCCCTTGGGGCTCTCCCCGGGGAAGGGCCTCGGAGGCTTCCAACGCATTCCAGCTGCGGAGAGCGTAGCCGCCCAGCCTCCAACCGTAGCCCGATTCCGGCCCCGCAGCTGGCGTCTGCGGCTCCAGGGGTGGCGGGAGCATGGGGCGCCGCGCTGGCCCCGCCCCAGCCCTCGGAGGAAGGGGAGTCGCTCCCTACCAGTGGGAGGGGTCGCGGCCCGCGTTCCCCTCCCCACCCGCCAGCCCCCGGGTTAAATGCGGCCGCCGCCTCCGCTCGCTCCAGCTGCCTGGCCGTCCGCACCTCGGGCACGCTTCCTGCGCCGTTACCTGGTCCAACTGCCCGGGAGGCTCCGCCCGTCGGCTCCGCTCTGCGGCCGCGCCTCCGAGCTGTCCGGCAGGCTTAGGTGAGTCAGAGGGCCTGGGTGCGCTGAGGGGTCTGCGGGGAGCAGGCATCCAGCCAGACCAGGCGACCATATTTAAGCGCGGCTGCACCGCCTACGATGCCCCCGTCCGACCTGCTGTGCCCTTCCCCACCTATGTAGGGTCCTTTACAAATTGAGGCCCCACCAGCACGGCCGCCAAAATGGAGAGGGGTGGACTTTTTCCCTGACCTCCTCCCTCCAGGAACCTCCTCCCCCGGCTCCCCCCGCCCCCCGCCGCTCCCCGGAAAGTCCTCAAAGTGTTTATTATTCAGCCAACTCTTGAGGAATTATTCGCAGACCTCTCCTCCCTCAAGAGTCCACTTTCCCCACCCTAAGGGCATTTCTTCTTAAAGCTACGATTAACCGCCTCAGAGGCGCTCCGGGTTCTAGTGTCAGCTTTGTCACCTTGCCACGTTGCTGTGTGACCTAGGCAAGACATTACCCTCTCTGGTCCTGCTTTCTTCCTCTGTAGAATGAGGGGTTGGAAAGGTGATGAACTTTGAGGCAAGGACTATTTCGACTTTCTAGGATTGGGTGGAGGTGGGGTGCCAGGCGAGATGTTGGCTCAGGCCAAGAGCAAGATAAGGGGAAACTTAATCAAGGTTTGGGGGCTCTGGCTTCTGCAGGTAGGAACGGATGGGAGGCAGCGAAGGCCCCTGTGCCTTTACCCTCATACTCCGCAAGGGTGCTCGCCTGCCTAGACTGTGGCCCAAGCTGGAGAAGGCATTCCACACCCTCCCACCTCCAGCTGGCACATCTGGCTTAGTCACCCTCCCACGATGGGTCCTGCCAGAGGGATTTTTGTTCCTCTACCAGGCCTGAAAGGCTAAGACGGTGAGGATCCAGGATGGGAAGGGCGCCTGTCGCTCCCTCCAGGCACCCGACCTTGCTCAGAATAGGACCATTCACGGAATTGGGGAGGGGGCGGGGCTGCGGTTGGATTAGGGTCAGCTGGCCCCCTCTGCCAAGAAACAGAAACAGAAAAATGGCTAACACAGCTTCAGCAGGGGGTGCGGGGGTGGGAGGGGGGTAGGGACCCCAGGGAGCGAATGGAAGGAAAAGAGGTGACGCCTAGGGGCCAGGTTGCCAGACAGCTCAGAAGGGAGAAGGGAAGCCAGGAGTCCTAGGTTCCTTTGCAGCTCGGCGGGACACCTTCTTGGGCCTCACTTTTCCCATCTGTATAATGGGAGTCCTTCATGACTCTCAAGGGGCGTCGCCAAGGGCCGCGGGAGAGTGAGCGCTCACCTGCCCCCACAGGGTCCATGGCTGCGCTCCGAGGCCCGGGCCGGCTCGCGTCCGGGGCCCGTCCAATGCCACTGTCCCCGGAACCCTGCGCACTTCTGATCTTTGGCCCTAGCGCCGGATATATTCTGCCCGGGCCTTATCTCCAAGGCCCTGGGGCTCCCAGCCCCCTATTTGCTTTGGGCAGGGGCACCTGCTGGGCAGATGTGGGCTTCCCACGGCCACCTAGCCAACACAGCCAGACGCGCGAAGGCGCCCCCTGGCGGCCTCTCCTGAGAGCTGGCGGGAAGGGGCGGCGCCAAGTCGCGACTTCATTTGCATGGAGGATTTAGGCCAACGCGATGCAGGCCTGCATTGGGGCGGTGCCTGTTTGGCTGTGGGGTGGGTTGGGGGGGTGGGCGGGAGGACAGTCACACAGAGGCGCCTTGTGTGCAGAGAGGAGGGGGTACGGTGGGGAGTCGTTTCCCTCTGCAAAGGTTCACGCGGGCTGGTTCTCGGAACCCCGCAGGCGTAGGATTATATCCTGGTGCAGCCACTTTCTTGCCGCGCGACTTTGGGTACTAGCGCTGAAGTTTTCTGAGCCTGTTTCCTCATCTGTGCAATGGGGACAACAACAGCCTTAGACCCATAGAATTGTCGAGAGGGTTCAATGAATGCCACGATGCATGAAAAACGTTTAACATCGTGGCTGGCATTAAGGAAAGGCTTTTCCTTTTTATTTTATTTTATTTTTAATATTTATTTATATATTTAGCTGTACCGGGTCTTAGTTGTGGCATTCAGGATCTAGTTCCCTGACAAGGGATCAGACCCAGGCCCCCTGAATTGGGAGCTTGGAGTCTTACCCACTGGACCACCAGGGAAGTCCAAGGCTTTTCCTTTTTAAATTCTGTATTTTTTTTTTTTTTTTGTATGTGTTGGGTCTTCATTTCTGCGCGAGGGCTTTCTCCAGTTGTGGAGAGCAGGGGCCACTCTTCATCGCGGTGCGCGGGCCTCTCACTGTCCCGGCCTCTCGTTGCGGAGCACAGGCTCCAGGCGCGCAGGCTCAGTAGTTGTGGCTCACGGGCCCAGTTGCTCCGCGGCATGTGGGATCCTCCCAGACCAGGGCTCGAACCCGTGTCCCCTGCATCGGCAGGCAGATTCTCAACCACTGTGCCACCAGGGAAGCCCTAAATTCTGTATCTTTTTAATCTACTTTCTATGTATTTACTATTCTGCAGTTCTGCAAAGCAGAATTCCTTGTGTTTCCAGCAATCTCACCGTGATGAAATTTTTTTATTACGAAAAATTTCAACATACACAAAACTAGAGAGATTAGTAAAATAAACCCATGACCCTCCTTCCCCTCAAAATGCCCATCACCTAGAATAAGAACTATGCAAATTCTACTGCTTTGCTATTTTCCTTCCTCCCTTCAGGCTCTGATACCCCTGTTCTCTGTTCCCCGAGGGCGATGAGGGGGCGTCTATGCTCGCAGCTGCCCATGTTCCTGCTCCTTCTCCAGCCCTGGGAAACCCAGCTCCAGTTCGCAGGTGAGCCAGAGCCCAGCCCTCAGAAGCAGGGGGAGGGGAGCAAAAGCAGGTTCTCCATCTGCAGCCAACTGCCTGCTGGGGAGAGCAAAACAAGAGCTTTGGAACCATAGGGCTTGGGTTCGAGTTCACAGCTTCAACTCTCTGGGCCTCAGTTTTCCCATCTGTAGGATGTGGCTTGGAGGTACCCAAGTTGGCCTCATGAAGAACTGTCCAGTTGGTGTTTAATTTTTTTAAGTTAATTGAAAAAAATCAGGAGATTTCACATAAAAACCCTAATTTCGGGCTTCTCTTGAAAAGATCCAAGATCTGCCAACATGGGGTTGGCAGATCTCACGGCTGCAAGGCAACATTTGTCTGGAGCTGCCCACTTTATGAGCTATAGAGGCTCTCTGGGTCCTCCGTCCTAACCCATCCCATTCACTCATTTATTTATATTTATTTATATTGCCTGCCTAACTCCTGTAGGCATTTGAGTTTGCGACGTCCCCTCGCCCTCCTCCCAAGTGGATAACACCTCCTCAGTATAGCCCTCAGAGCTGTAGGATAGAGATTTGGTGCAGTCTCCCAGTCCAGGCCCTCCTCAAATGCTGCGTGAGTGGATGGAGCTAACCTGCATTTGCTAGGTTAAGACTGTGCTGGGCGCTGTTACACCGTGAGAGCACCATTCCGCCCTGGGTTTCTGTGGGGTTCTCCCGGGAGGTGAGGCTTGGCTAACCTAGGAAAGTCCTCCCTGATCTCCTCGCAGGTCCCAGGTGCCGTACTGGGCCCCTGGATTTGGTGTTCGTGATTGACAGCTCGCGCAGTGTGCGCCCCTTCGAGTTCCAGACGATGCGGCAGTTCCTGGTGAGCCTCCTCCGCAGCTTGGACGTGGGGCCCAACGCCACGCGCGTCGGCGTGATCCAGTATTCAAGTCAAGTGCAGAGCGTCTTCCCGCTCGGAACCTTCTCACGCCGCGAGGATATGGAGCGCGCCATCCGCACTCTAGTGCCACTGGCGCAGGGCACCATGACCGGGCTGGCAATCCAGTACGCCATGAACGTGGCCTTCAGTGTGGCCGAGGGCGCGCGCCCGCCGGAGGCGCGCGTGCCGCGCGTCGCTGTAATCGTGACGGACGGGCGGCCCCAGGATCGCGTGGCCGAAGTGGCGGCGCAGGCGCGCGCCCGCGGCATCGAGATCTACGCCGTGGGGGTTCAGCGCGCTGACGTGGCCTCCCTGCGCGCCATGGCGTCCCCCCCGCTGGACGAGCACGTCTTCCTCGTCGAGTCCTTCGACCGTATCCAGGAATTTGGCCTTCAGTTCCAGCGCCGGCTGTGTCGTGAGTGAGGGGAGCGCTGGAGCGAGACCCGAACTCTCCAACCGTTCCGATTCTCATTCCCACCACAGTGAATCCTATCCCCCTCCCGGCTGGCCCCGCCCACGCCATCTTTAGCCCCTCCCAACAGGCCGTGGAGTTGCCCTGGCCTACCGCGGGTTGTGTGGAATTCCAGCTCTGCCCATTTTTGCTCAAGGCTTCGCCCACAAGGAGCAACGTATAGCGTGCCCGCGTACCTTGATGAGCTGTTGTGGTTTACCACAGGCTTAATGTCTAACTCCAAAACCGCCTCTCTACACAAGAAGCATCACCCCTCAAGGCTGAGAGCCATCGCCCACTCGGGCGTCAAGCCCCGCCCACTTGGGGATGACCCCTCCCCCTCTCGTTTTAGCTCCTCCCATAATGCTGCAAGATCTGTTCTCTGTCACACCTTGAGTTAATGCCGCTTACCTTGATTTAGCATCTCTCTTCTTCCTCTACTTTACACCGTGTAGTCCTCCCTTATCCCACTGACACCTCTGGCCCCGTGCTCCTGTCTTCCGAGCCTATTCACAGGGGCCACTGAGGACCTATACTTTCCCTAAGACCTTCCACCTGTATTGGCCCCTCTCAACCAAGTCATATTCCATCTAAAGACATCCTTGAGCATGGGGTCTGCTCTGACCGCATTCAGCTCTCTCTTCTTGGAGGGTTCTCCCCATCTGTCCCCTGCTGATTCTACTCTTGTATGTCCTCAGGAAAGGACCTGTGTGCTGAGGGGGGACACGGCTGCCAGCACCAATGTGTCAGCTCCCCCGGCACGTTCCACTGTGCTTGCAACCCCGGCTACCGGCTAGCAGCAGATGACAAGAGCTGTTTGGGTGAGAGCTACCCCCACCCTCCAGTCTCACTGCTCCTGAGCCTTCTGTGGCTCCCCATTGGCCTAGCATCAGTACAATGAGTCTGGAAGGACCTTTGGAGGTCAAAGTCCAGCTCCCTCACTTTACAAGTCTAGGAAAGGGAAGGTGTCGCTTGGGGTCATGTAAGTCCTTGGTGGGACCAGGGCTAGAAATCTTGACCTCACAGAGGTCATACAGCTAATACAGTTAAGTGTATTTTCTATAGCCTTGTCTCCCCCCTCTTTCAGGCTCATCTCCTACCTGGCTTCAAAACAGCTCCCAAACTTGTGTAATTTCACAGGCATATCCTTACTGTTTCTGTTACTTGACAGAGTTGGGGTCTCCATACATTTCCTACATTCCCCACCCCCATATACGCTGCTCATTCCTGCTTCTGCATCTCAGTTCTTTCCGGGCTGCTCACCTGGGCTGCTCTTGCCACTCCTCTTTGCAGCTGCAGATCTCTCAAGGCCTGGTTCTTCATTTTTGCTTTCTGAAAAGCTATGACACACAATGCCTTGCTTATACAGTTAGGATTTTTCCCCCTGTGTATATATGTCCAATCCTTTGATCATAACGGCAGCTGCCATTTACTGTATGCCAGGTTAGCATCAGACATTAAGCTAGGAGCGTTACATGCATCATCTCTCAAGCTCACCACATTCTGGAAAAAGAGGTCCTGTGTTTCCAATAACCCAGATGTCAGCTGGGGTCTTCTTGTTTCTGGGGCTTAGAAAAGGCTGGCGTGAAGGCCCATTTGATGAGCTGTGAACATTCAAAACCCTTCCCAAGATCTCCAGGAATTCCCCAAGTGCTTACATTCTGTGGTCACCTCTAGCTCTGAGCTTCTGCTGAATTCAATTTATGGGTCCTTGCGCAGTTTCTCAATCCACACACGCTGTTCTTGTCCTGTGGATGTAAATCAGCCTCTTCCTTGGTTGACACACTTGTGCACACAAGGGCATGTATATGTTAAGTCGTGCATACATCTATTTTACTAAAGATGGGGGGTGGACAGAGGTGTGACTTACATCTAAGTGAAGTCAAATATACACACAGAAAAAGAAACACCCATTATTTATAATTGAATATTAGGCACCCTTGATCCCGAAAGTCCTCAGTCACCCCTCTATAGGGGATTTTCCATTGGCAAACTCAACCCACAGTAAATCATCTCCACACCATCTCTCTTGTCCTTTTTTTCCTCTCTCCACTCCCCATCTCTTTTCTAGGAACCCCACATTCTCACACTTTTATGCAGGGCATCTCACCTCTCTCCAGCCCCTATTCCCCAGCTCAGCTCTAGGCCATATTTGCACATCGAAACCATGAAGATACTCAGCGGGGCAATAGTTCACCCTCCTCAGAAGGCAGTTGTAAATAACAACTGTTCTCTTCCATTATATCCCCATTTTGCAGATGGGGAAATAGAGGCTCAGACAGGTAAAGTGGCAGAGCCTCACTAACTCTGGTCCTCCTCTGTGAGTTAGTGAACATTTTGAGGGCAGGGGTCCTGTCTTCTACAACTGTGGATTCCCATTCTTATGCCTGGCTCAGTCATGGGCCCACTGGGATACATCTGGAGCTTGAATTGGGAGGGCCGCTTGGCTCAGTAGGAAGGGGGCCTTTGCTTGGAGGAATTACAGAAGGCTGGGTACCACCCCAGACGTATTAAGTCAGGATTTTGGGGGGTTGGGGTCCAGGCATAGGTATTTTTAAAAAGCTCCCCAGGTGGTTGTGCTGTCAGGTCTGACAAGGGCAGCCCCAGGGCATAGCCTGACCTCACCTCTTCCTCAGCCCTCGACCTGTGCACTGAAGGGACCCATGGCTGTGAGCATCACTGCGTCAGCTCCCCGGGCTTCTATTTCTGTCGCTGCCGAGCTGGCTTTGTACTCCAGCAGGACCAGAGGAGCTGCAGGGGTGAGCGAACCCCCCAATTAGCACCTGGACCAAGGTCTCTGATGGCTCCGGTCAGAAGTGACATCTTGCTGTCTCTTCCTTCCCACCAGCCGTTGACCACTGCAGCTTTGGGAACCACAGCTGCCAGCATGAGTGTGTTAGCACGTTTGGTGGGCCACGGTGCCGCTGCAGAGGGGGCTACAACTTGCTGCCCGACGGCAGGAGCTGTCAGGGTGAGGAGGGGTCTCCTGCATTTGTGCAGAGCGACGAGGGATCTTAGCTGGTGGAGTCCACCCTGACTCGTTCTGTCTTGTCTCTCCTTTAAGCCCAGGACCTTTGCAATGGCGTAGACCATGGGTGCGAGTTCCAGTGCGTGAGTGAGGGCTTCTCCTACCGCTGCCTGTGCCCTGAGCGGTGGCAGCTCCAGGCAGATGGCAAGAGCTGCAGCCGTGAGTTATGGGTGGGAGGGGGTTCTGTCTGCCTCTGACCCACTGCCCACGTTCTGAGTATCCTTGACTCTGTCCTGTCCTTGCTGTGGCCCAAGAATGTGGTATGAGTGTGTGTGTGTGCGCTGGTGGTGGCCGAGTTGGAGGGTGTGCCATGCCCCGCCTCCATGTCTTTCCCCTCAATCTTCTACCCTGCTGCCAAGGCTAACTTCAAAAATACATATTTGATCACATTTCTCCCTTGCTCGAAAGCCTTCTGTGGCTCACCAGTGCTTACAAAATAAAGATCAAATGCCTTACCCCTGAGGTTTTCAAATGGCGGGTGTAACCACAGTGGATAACAAAATCAAATTAGTGGGTTAAAAACTAGAAACTTTTTTTAAAAAGAGAGAGAGAAAATAGAGTTTACTGCGTGGATGTAGAAAGAGTAAGTATTGTTTCACGAAACTTAATTTTAATTATATGTGAGTATAAGTGCATCATGATGTATTGTTACATCATTATTATTAATTATTATTTTTTTTACTGTGGGTTGTGGTCAAATTTTTGAAACCACCGCCTTAGGTCATTATAATCTAGCTTGAGCCAACCCCATCAGCCTGTCTCCTGACAAACTCGAACATTTGAGCCATACCGGCCTGCCCATTCCCAAACGTGTCCAGGGCTCCCAGCTTCCATGCCTCCACACACATTGCCCCCAACATCTAGAATGTCCCTTCATGCCTTGGAGAACTCCTACTCATCCCTGAAGATCAAATCACGTGTCACCACCTCCATGCAGCCTTCCTCACTAACTCCAGGAAGAATGAATTACCCCTACCTTGCTCCCTGCAAGCCCCTCTATTCAAGCACTTTCCTTGATGGTAGCAAATGGCATGCCTCACTGCTCTGCTCTCTCCTGATATCCTATGGGTCAGGATTATGCTTCATTTATTGGCAAACCTCCTTCAGGGCCTAGCAAGGTCCCTGTCTCAGAACAGGGGAGGCGATCTTGTAGAGTGATTAGGAGCTTGGGTTTTGGGGTCAGACAGGCCTGGCTTCAAATCCTGGCTCAGCCACTACTAGTGGTGGAATCCAGAGCAAACAAATGACTTTATCCTTCAGAATCTCAGATTCTTAGAAAATGGGGATAATACCCAAGGTTATTGGGAGAATTGAGAAAAAATATATAAAGCACCTAGCCCAGTGCCTGGTACATGGTAAGCTGTCAAATAGTAATGTTTCTGTTTTTATTAATTATTGTTAGTAGTGGTAAAGTTTAGAATTCTGTCTGATACATAGTAGATGATCAATAAATGGTAGCTACTGTGATGATGGTGATTAAAAAGATGCTTTTAGCAGGCTTGTGGTAAGCGCTTAATAAATGGCAAAGATTATAATGATGCCACTGATGATAATAATAATTATTATTAGTTAGCACAGTGCCTGGCATAGGGAGGACTTCACACATAGTATCTGTTATATAATAAATGTTTGCGAGTGAATGAATGAGCAGGTGGCTGCTGCCAGCCAAGGATCTGATCCCTTAATCCCAGCTCTTCTGCTCTGGTGGGTGTAGGGTGCCAGGAAGGCCACGTGGACCTGGTTCTGCTCGTCGATGGCTCCAAGAGCGTGCGTCCGCAGAACTTCGAGCTGGTGAAGCGCTTCGTGAACCAGATCGTGGACTTCCTGGACGTGTCCCCAGAAGGCACGCGCGTGGGGCTGGTGCAGTTCTCCAGCCGCGTGCGCACCGAGTTCCCACTGGGCCGCTACGGCACGGCGGCCGAGGTGAAGCAGGCGGTCCTGGCTGTGGAGTATATGGAGCGCGGCACCATGACCGGGCTTGCGCTGCGCCACATGGTGGAGCACAGCTTTTCAGAGGCGCAGGGCGCGCGGCCCCGGGCGCTCAACGTGCCCCGCGTGGGCCTGGTCTTCACCGACGGCCGCTCCCAGGATGACGTTTCGGTGTGGGCGGCGCGCGCCAAGGAGGAAGGTGGGCTTGGCGCGGGCCGCGCTGGCCTGAGGTTGGGTTGGATGCGGGGAGGCGGCTTTCCTGAGGCCTAGGGTGCCCCCTGAGTCCCTCGACGCTACAGGCATCGTCATGTACGCCGTGGGCGTAGGCAAGGCGGTGGAGGACGAGCTGCGAGAGATCGCCTCGGAGCCAGCGGAGCTGCACGTGTCCTACTCCCCCGACTTCAGCACCATGACGCACCTGCTGGAGAACCTCAAAGGCAGCATCTGCCCGGGTGAGCACATCGGTCTCGGGACCCCTCCCCTTCTCTCACTGCCTACCCTCCGAGATCTCCCGGTCCTATTCGTTCCCGCCCCCTTCGTTGAGTGACAGCCAGGGGATGGGCTCGCTGGACCGAGCCTCTTTACTCAAAGTGTGGTCCGGGGACCGGCGGCAGGGCTGTCACCTAGTGGTTTGTTAAAACTACAGCATTTCCAGCGCTCTCCAGACCTACCGAATACAGTTTTCCACTTTGACGAGACCCTCGGGGGATTAGCATTATGTTAAAGTGTAAGAAGCCCTGGACTAAACCACCTGTTCCCCAAATTAGTGGGCGTTCAGAATAATTTGGGGGAAATTTTTTCAAAGGCACGCCCAACTCAGCATTGGTGAGGGGAGCCACATCATAAGCCCTTTACCTTGTTGGAATTCAACTTTACAGACCTGGCAAAGTGGCAGGACTGGGTGTGTTCCAGGTACACAAAGATGTGTATTAAGTATATATATTTAATATATATTTATATCCTTGATTTCCCCATCTGCAAAGTTAGGAGCCTTTCTGGAACTGTTATCAATACCATTGATAAACATGACATACAGACTAAGATATAACTTTTAAATCATAACAGCAACTCTGTATTGAAGGCCAAGTGCCAGGCATTGTTCTGTAATATTAAAAACGGCACACGTTTACAGAATTCAGTGAATCTAAGATGCCATCCCTTGTGAGATTCGTTATTTTCTATACTGCTAAGAAAAAAAGGATGCCAAATTTAATTGTAAGGCAACTATTTGGATTTCAGAGATGTTGAAATGTATGAGGAAATAGACTTGGATCAGTGGGTCTTTTAAAAAAATATTTATTTATTTTATTTTTTATTTTTGGCTGCGTGGGGCTCGTGGGATCTTTTGTTGCAGTGCACAGGCTCTGTAGTTGTGGCACACGGGCTTATTCCACCCCCTGCCCTGTGACATGTGGGATCTTAGTTCCCCCACCAGGGATCTAACCCCATGTCCCCTGCGTTGGAAGGGGGATTCTTAACCACTGGACCACCAGGGATCTAACCCCATGTCCCCTGCGTTGGAAGGGGGATTCTTAACCACTGGACCACCAGGGAAGTCCCCTGGATCAGTGGTTCTTAGACATTGGTGTGCATCGGACTCACCTGGAAGGTTTGTTAAAACACAAATTGTTGGCTCCAACCCCAGAGTTTCTGACTCAGTAGGCCTGGGGTGGAATCTGATCATTTGCATTTCTAATAACTTCCTAGGCGTTGCTGATGCTGCCGGTTCAGGGACCACACCTGGAGAACAATTGGCCTAGTTGAAATACCCTATAAAGTGTTTCCTTGCGTCAGGAAATGCTCTAGATCTGCACCCTCCAATAAGGTAGCCACTAGCTACATACGCCCATTTAAATTAAATTACATTAAATTAAATAATTTAGTTCCTCAGGTGCACTAGCCACATTTCAAGTGTTGAATAACCACCTGTGTCTTGTAGCTACCACACTGGACAAGGCAGATACAGAACATTTCCTTCACTACATAAAGTTTCATTTGGACAGTGCTGCTGTGGACTCTTGCTACTCAAAGTGTGGTCCACAGACCAGCAGCAGCAGCATCACTTGGGAGTTTATTAGAGATGCAGTGTCTCAGCCCCTTCCCTGTTAAGAACAAGAATCTATATTTTAACAAGGTCTGGTGATTCCAATGAGCATCAAGGTTTGAGAAACCTTCTAAGATGTGTACACACATACACACACGAAAATCACTGAATGCTGAGCACCGCCGGACGAAAAGGTATTCTCATTGTATCCATTTTTACAGGTAAGGAAACTAAGGCTTAGAAAGGTTGAGGGGGTTTTCCAATATCTCACAGCTACCTAGCTGGTACTCATCCCAGGTCTGTCCGAATCCCAAACCCGAACACTCAGCCAGGCCGGGTGGAGGGATATCGGAGAGCCTCAGCCAGGGCCGGTTGGTCCTCCTCCAGCTTCTCACTCCCCCACTCTCTGTGCCCGGCTGCCAGAGGAGGGCATCAGCGCGGGGACAGAGCTTCGGAGCCCCTGCGAGTGCGAAAGTCTTGTGGAGTTCCAGGGCCGCACGCTGGGGGCGCTCGAGAGTCTGTCGCAGAACCATATCCTTTGGGTCCAGGGGCGCGGGCTGGAGGGGAGAAGGGACCCCCGCGAGCCCCAGCGGCTTCCTTAACCGCTCACTGGCCCAGCTGACGGCGCGCCTGGAGGATGTGGAGAACCAACTGGCCACCCAGAAGTGAGGGCCGCGGGTGGCCCGGACCCGGGCAAGGGGGGCGGCCCCGCGGACTGGGCCCCCTCGTGCGCCTTCCGGGCGCTGGGGCCGGGCAGAAGCTGGGTCCCCCAGGCTTGGGCTGTCGGGGAGGAGGCGCTGGCGGGCTCCCAGCGCTGCGCTCGAGCTGGCCTCGCCTGGACCAGAAGCCGGACTGCGGGGGATCGTGGGAGGGGATGTGGGGGACGCGTGCTGCGCTCAGTTCTTTGTAGGATTTCTTTTTTTGTTTTCTTTTTCTTACAAAAAAAAAAAAAAGAACAAAAAATCTGGTTTCCACGGGGTCGGTGTGCGTGTCTTGCTGTGCCGCCAGGCGGAGGGGAGGCCAGACGGAGCGCGCTCCGGCGGCGCCCGGGCGGCGTCTCCTCGGAGAAAGGCGCATTGTGCGGGGGTCGGGCCGGGGGGCAGGGGACCGGGGGCTGCTTCCCCCCGCTTGTTTATTCAGCTGAGAACAGATGGCTCCTTATGCGGGCTGCGGGAAGGGAGGGGGCTCCACGGGTACCCTGGGGGTCTGGGCAAGTCTGCGCCCCTCCATCCCCCAGCGGATCGGACACCTCGCTCTCTGGCCGTGCCTATCTCCTGGTGTCCCCGAGTCTGGCTCAAAAACTGTTCGAACTGGGCGGGACGGGGGCGGAGGTGTTGGCGAGAAGCGGGAGGCAGTAATCGAATCCCCTAAAGGGACGGGAGCGGGGAGGATAGGTGAGTTTCGCCTGGATTTTATCTCCCTGCCCTAGATAGGAAAAGGAGGGGGTGTCAGCCAGGACCTCTGGCCCAGAGTAGCCTTCCCAGCCTGTGTTTTACCTCCAAAAAAACAAAATAAAAACGAACCCTCTTTAGGTAAAGAGCACAAACCGGTACAATTTCCCAAAGTGCAGAGATGAAAATGCTTCCAGTCCTAGAGTGGTTATGGGCAAATTACTCTGGGTTTGTTTCCTTATGTGTAAAATGGGGATTGAAATCGTTATGCCCAAGGGTGATGGTGAGAATGGAGGAAATTATTCTAAGGCATCTGACCTTGTGCCTGGTACTACGTATTAGGCTCTCAGATGGCAGCTTTTACTATTAATAGCTAACATGTTTAGTCTTGGGCATTATTCAAAGTGATTTGCAGGTATTTTCATTTTATCCTCACAACCTTGTGAGGTAGGAATTATTGCCTTTATCATTCCCTTTTACAGACAAGGAAACTGACTCAAAGAGAGGTTACGTTTCCCAGAGTCACATGACAAGTAAGAAGATGAACCAGGGCTTCCCTGGTAGCGCAATGGTTAGGAATCCGCCTGCCAATGCAGGGGACACGGGTTCGAGCCCTGGTCTGGGAAAATCCCACGTGCCGCGGAGCAACTAAGCCCGTGCGCCACAACTAGTGAGCCTGTGCTCTAGAGCCATGAGCCACAACTGATGAGCCCGTGTGCCACAACTGCTGAAGCCCGTGCGCCTAGAGCCTGTGCTCCGCAACAAGACAAGCCACTGCAACGAGAAGCCCGTGCACCACAATTAAGAGTAGCCCCCGCTCGCCGCTCGCGCAGCAACAAAGACCCAACGCAGCCATAAATAAAACAAATAAAAATGATTAAAAAAAAAAGAAGCTGAACCCGTGTGTTTTCATTTCCTGTGGCTGCTGTAACATCACCACAAATTTAGTGGCTTAAAAAACACACAAATAGTTTTTGAGGTTAGCAGTCTCAAAGGGGCTGGCAAGGCTGCATTCCTTCTGGAAACAATTGTTTCCTTGCCCTTTCCAGCTTCTAGAGACTACCCGAATTCCTCTCATCACCTCAACCTCTGCTTCGGGCATCATACCGCCTTCTCTGACTCTGACCTTCCTGTCTCTGTTGCATAAGAACCCTTGTGATTATACTGGGCTGACCCAGATAATCCATGATAATCTCTCCATCTCAAGCTCTTCATCACATCTGCAAACGCTCTTTGCCATGTAAGGTAACATATTCACAGGTTCCAGAGATTAAGATGTGGACATCTTTGGGTGTGTGTGTGTGTGTGTGTGTGCATTATTCTGCCTACCACACAGGGCTTGAAGCCAGGAGGACAGAGCCCAGAGCAGGCACTGCTAAGCACGCATATGCCTGGCCCCTCACTGGCCATGGCGAGGAGGGAGCTGGGGGAGCCCAGGGCTGGAGGGGGTAAAGTCCACCTGACTATAACAGAAAGAGGACCCTTCAGGTGAAGGGATGGAGCAAAGGGCGGGTAAGGAGGGAGAAATCACAGAGGAGGTGACTTCCAGCCAAACCTTAACCTACAGGATGACAGGATGATTGAGGTCTCACCTGGACCTGAGGGTCAGATGAGGAAAAGTGCCCGTCCAACCCCTTTGTTTTGCGGCCGGGAAACCAGGCCTAGAGGGCAGAGTTGTCTGCCCAAGATCACAGTGAGAGAACCGGGGGTCTGACTGTAACAGGGACTTCAACGATGGAGGTGGCACTGAGGCAAAGGTGAGGCCTCCTGCCTGGAGCTGGCCAGGACTGTCTTCTGTGGGGTTTCTTTTCTCGCCTGCTCTTCTCCTGTAATCTCCACAGTAGCCACTGGATGGCGCCTGGAGCTCTGATTTGGAGTTGGGTCCCAGAGCCCTTACAGGCCTTGGGGGCTGGCACTTGTGCTGAGCCAGGCCTGCCCTTCTCCGAAAGACCCTCCTCCCCCTTCACACCCCTCCCCCGACTCTGGCGGACCCTACCACCCCAGCCTAGAAGCTGCTTCATTTCCTAGGCAGTGACCACACACTCCTGGATTGGAAGACCAGCCCTGCTATTTACTAACTATGTGTAGGTGTTGACAAGGGCTGGTTCCCTTGTCCATTTCCTGATTCTCTTTTGGGGAGGCTGCAGGAGGCAGAACTCCTTTATCCACTCTTTGGAAGCTAGAATGTGGGCATGAGGGCACAGTGCAGCTGTTAAGAGCACAGACATGGGAGCCAGACTGCCTATCCGAATCCCAGCTCTGCCATGAGCTGTGTGACCTTAGGCAAGTTTCTGAATTTCTCTGTGCTTCTGTCAAAGGAGACCCAGTTTTCTCATCTGTATAATGGAGATGATAGTATTCCCTATGCCACTGGGTTTTTGTGAGGATTGAATGAGATAATCCATTTTATATTCTTAGAACTCCGCTTGGTACATAGCATGTACAAAATGTAAAAAACAAAAATGAACAGCTGGGGTTTCATAAACTCGATTCTTTCTCCTTGGACTGTGAGTCTTGAGGGAACAAGGCAAAGGTTCAGGGACAGTTGGGAAGTCATTCAAGACAGTGCAGTGACAGTACAGTAAGTCCCTACATATAAACCCTTCAAGTTGTGAACTTTCAAAGATGCGAACGTGTGTTCACATGTCCAATCACGTAAGTTAGTTCACGTGTCTGGCGTACATTGTCCATGCATGCATCCCGTACAAGTGGTTGTGCTTTTGTGAACTTTATTGTACAGTGCTGTGCAGTAGCCCAGGATGTCCGGAAGCAAGCGTAAAAGCAGCAGTGTTGTAGCTGGTACTGCTAAGAAGTGCCAAGTGATAATGACGGAAACAAAAGTGAAAATAATTGAGAGAGTGGAGCGACAAGAGGAAGAAGAAGTAACTGAAGAACCCCAGAGGTTCACAACACAGGAAGCGGCAAGGGAATTTCCTTTATTTGAGGAGGCATTGTTAGTTTTTTGTTGGTTTTTTTGTTTGTTTTATAAATTTACTTGTTTATTTTTGGCTGCGTTGGGTCTTTGTTGCTGTGCCCTGGCTTTCTCCAGTTGCGGCGAGCAAGGGCTACTCTTCATGGTGGTACGCGGGCTTCTCATTGTGGTGGCTTCTCTTGTTGCAGAGCACGGGCTCTAGACACACGGGCTTCAGTAGTTGTGGCACATGGGCTCAGTAGCTGTGGCTTGTGGGCTCTACAGCACAGGCTCAGTAGTTGTGGCGCACGGGCTTAGTTGCTCTGCGGCATGTGGGGTCTTCCTGGACCAGGGCTTGAACCCGTGCCCCTGCACTGGGGACAGGCGGATTCTTAACCACTGAGCCACCAGGGAAGCCCGGCACTGTTAGTTTTTGAGTCACAGGACCCGAACGTAGAATGGTACACGAAGGTTACACAGCCATTCAGAATGCGATCCAGTGCTACCGTGTCATCTATGAAGAGAAAAAACGAGCTATCACCCAGACATCACTGGATCACTTTTTCAAGGGGGGAGATAGAATTGAATCCAGCAAGGAAGCAGAACCTAAGCCATCAACGTCAGGCGTGAGTGAAATGGCAGCTTGCCCTCCGTCTCCTCTTGCTGATGATCCTTCAGCTCTACCATCTCCCACCTCCTCTCCCTCCTCCAGTCAGTAACTCTTCTTGCCTGTTCACTCGATGCCAGCCTCTGTATGCCAGCTGTTGTACCGTACGACTGTACTTTTCAAGGTACTGGACTGTAAGATTAAAAATGTTTTCTTTATTTCTGTGTTTGTTTTTTATGTATTATTTGTGTGAAAAGTATTATAAACCTATTACAGTACAGTACTATACAACCGATCGTGTTAATTGGGTACCTAGGCTAACTTTGTTGGACTTACGAACAAATTGGACTTAGGAACGCACTCTCAGAACGGAACTTGTTCGTATGTATGGACTTACTGTATTGAGAGTCCGTTGATGGAGCCCTAACCAGATGATTCTTGCTGGTGACCTTGGCCGATTTTCTTGGTTTCTTTTATTTCCACAAACTACCTGATATCCTGGCAAGGCTTCCAAGTTGCACAGTTTCGAAAGTCTTGGTGGGAGAGAGGCGTATACTCAGAACACAGTGTGAATGGTGCCCCCTAGCGTTGTGAAATGGTCCTCTCGTTAGCCTTCCAATAGAGAACTTTCTGCTTAGCGAGCCAGGCTTGGTGTGTCTGTTGCTTGCACCCAAGACCTCTGGCCATGCCCTGCTGCATTCTTTGTAAGGGCTGCATAGTATTCCATTCTATGTAGGTGTCATATTTCATTTCAGCACCCCTTATTGGAGGATTCTGGGTAATTTACAGCTCTTTGACATTCCACAGACAGACACAATGACATGCTTCTTAGAACCTATTTTCCAGCCCTTGTAACCTCATCTCTGACTCTCCCTACCCCCACAGGCTCACAGTTGGGTGGGGAGTGACCTCATCCACAGGCTCACATGGTGGCTGTGATCCTCTGCCTGTTTGATCAAGGCAGGATTGGCCAAACGTTTAGAATAGCAGGGAGCTCAGTGGGCCAGGAAGGGAGTGACAGA